TTTATTTTTAAAAAATATTATATAACTTTTTGCAGGCAAATTTGCCTGCACATAGTCTACAGACGAAGAGATAATAATATTTTTTATACGAAACCATGGAATTCAACTAAACTCGGGGATGAAATTGGACCAATGGTATTTTATCATTTAGACAATACTGATTTTGGTTTAATCAAAATAACGAATGAAAATCTCAAACCAACAAGAAAGATAAGGATTACAGGTTCTATACATTATACACTATTTATAAGAGATGGTGATCCTATATCATCCCATAATGCCCACTTATGTAAGTCCGGCTACAAAACACATACTACTTGCGGATATGAAATAGTGATGAGTTTTACGAAAATTTGATTGTTACGAGTATACCTACTGAAAAGAGTGATAGCGGATCACCTGTATTCTATTCGCGAGATTTACCTTTTGTGAGTCTACTCGGCATACACATGATAAGCGTGTATAGTAAAAGCTTGGGTGATATTATGTTAACTATAAAATTACAAGATATTTTTAATAAAGCTCCAATGGAGCTTGTTTTAGGTAAAGAAAAACATTAATAATAAATATGCTATAATTTTGATCTTTTGCATAAGCTTGAGTATTGAAAATTAGAATTATGAATCGGTGTAAAAAACGTAATCTATTTTTGTAAAAATTTTATTATTTTTTATAGAAATAAAATTGCATATTCATCATCATTTTGTAATAAATATTTGCAAAAATAGGTGTTGCGCATTAAAATATCCAATCAAATTTTTACAAATGATGAATGCACAAATTTTTAGTCTAAAAGTCAAAAAAAATGTTGAGGAAATCGGAAATCAGTAATCGGAAATTAGTGATTACTTTTTTTTTTATTGATCTTCAAATTTCACATAATTTTGCAAGCCGCAATAATCGATTAGTTGCAACTCGTCGATTAATCGATTAGTTGCAACCAACTGGAAAAATAATTAACCAACTAATCGATTGAAAAAATTTTGCCGATTTGTAACACTAACGAGTGTATCGTTCGCGATTTACTTATTTGCGCGGGTAACAAACCAAAAAAGGAATCAAATTTTGTAAATAAACCAAGTGCGTAATAAATAGAAGTTTAGGATTAAAACGTTAGGGTTGTGAGCTTTAACGATAAGTTGAAGTTTTTATATAAAAATTTCATCCCCGTTATTTTTTATTAGTCGACAAAAGTCGATTTAAACACTAGTTTTTGAGTATTTTCGCTTTTCTTTTTTTCTTCTTTCGCACATGCTCGGATTCTATGTCGGGCTGATCCGGAATACTCGAACTTTGTGTTCTCTGATTGGCCATTACCTTTTTAGAGGTTTGTATTACCCGCACAAATAAGTGGATGCGTATCGTTCGTATACAAATCTTGGTTTTGATTCGGTATAGTAACCTTATGACATAATGATGTACGTCGTTAAAAGAAAACCCGAAAATTTAAAATTTAAATTTTCGGGTTTTCTTTTTAGCAACACTCACATAACGATGTACAATTTTTGATTCTCATGACATAATGATCTACATTCTTGTATTAACGGGTATAATTTTACCGACAGCTCATTTAGCCGTCATCACGCCAGGTGAAATTTAGCAAAAATATATACCTGCAACTAATCAAATTCTTAACCCTAACCCTATGTAATGTCAGCTAAATGAGGAATGATTGTCAGTAAATTGATCGGCACCGCTTTTAGTGTGAAAAATGTCTAAAAAAAATGGCATTCTGTCTATTCAACACGAATATATACGTACAAATTTACACAATCCTTTTTATAGGGTTGTCCGAAGCGGAGCTATAATACACCCGATGCATATGTTAACAAATTCTGAATTTTGTGTTTATGGATCATTTTCTTAATTTTTAATGTGTTGAGTTTTACTTAAAACTGTATAAAATTTCCATTTTATGTTTAATCAGAATATTTTATTATAAATAATTGGTATTACACTAATCATATCTAATTATTAGTTGGAACGGGATTGCAGACCACCTATATATATTTAGGTTCAATTTATTTAGCGATCTATGTATTTTCTAAAATTGCTCTACTCAATTTACAAACTAAGTCAGTTGATGAAATCACAATGCGAAACTCTCCATATTGTAACAAAATAAATGAATAAATTTTCAAGATTAGGTAATAATGCTAAATTTATCAAAAGCTTTATGATATAATGTAAGAATTATTATAAATATCATTGTCTACGTTCGGCCTGGTCTACCGGTCCGAGCTTTTTTAGGATCGACCCCGGCCCATGATTTTTTCATCGACCCGTATCACTACTTTAGATAAGGGTTAAGATAGGGTTTGCTATGGTCTATGATATTTTTTTATCAGAGTTTTTAATTGTCGGAATTTTTAACTGTTTGGATTTCTGACTGTCGAGATTTTTAGCTGTTGGGATTTTTTTTGTCAGGATTATGACCTATCGGGATTCTGTCTGTCGGGATTTTGACCCAAACCCGATAATAAGAGATGTGCGACGTTGTCCAAAATTTAATTTGTTACAAAACTAGTACATGATCATGTGGCGGCTTCGCCGCCAACTAATAATTAGATATAACAGTATATGGTATTAATAGACACT